TTCTGTGTCACTCCATGAACTTTTATCTTATTAAGTTTCCTTCTGATCCTCTCCCTCTCCTTCTCTTTATCCCTTTTCCTTTCTGTACTGTATGTTCTACCCCTTCTTATGACTTGCCGATAATTGTTGTATCTTCAATATAAGATTTTGAGATGAACACAGGAATATAGCTATTTCCACTGAATAGAAAATTTTCTTTAATTGTGTTCTACAGCGATCTTCTGTAACAGAGTGCTCATTATTTTTCACATGATGATATCATAGTTATTAACTGTGGATATAAGACTCCAAAGTTCCTGGGATATATAAATAACTCCTTTATTGGCCTTTATACACTTAGTATATACTAATATCAAGTATAGTCTGGAGACATGTTAATTTGCATTACTCAACTATATTTTAATAATCCTAGATATTAAATATATTCCCATGAGCTTACAATCTTGTCTTTACAGCCATAGCTACTACTACTCTTTCTTCTTTTTGTTCTATAAATTTTGATCTATGAATTTTTCTAGTTTCATAACCTTAGTATGATTTGTTAAGTAAATTCCATTGGAAATATATTTTTTAAAATCTAAGACCTTGTTCTAAGATATTTCTACAAATTTTAGTGCCACATTATAAGCATTAAAACTGGTCTTCAAAAAGTTTGTGGAAAATGTAAATTATGAAAAAGTAGATATAAATTTCTACATTTTTGTATGAAAATAAATCATACAATATTTCTGAAGCACCTTGTATTTAACTATTTACACCTCATATAATTTTCTTCCAATTGGAGTGAAGTTTTCAGTTAGAATGTACTCTAGAGTTTTCTTTTATTGCTAATGAAATGAACATGATCTCAATATTGCATGCTTGAACACTGACAGATATATGGTTTGAATTGTGTATTCTTTATGATATTAACAAAACCTATCTCATGAAGGTATGTTTTGTTATTTTTCTCTCAGATAGGAGGAAGGCTCAATATATGTTTGGTAAGTAATTATTATCTCTAGGAAACCTCCATTCCTACATCTTCAATGTGTTCAGTCCCTATCTGAGTCCTATAACAATTATAGGATGCATGTAGTCATTGCTTCCTTCAGATAGAGTAGGCTCAATTCAAATTCAGTGAGTAATCATTCTCTTGCAAAAAATTCCATTTTTCTGTCTCTTTTGGATTCAATCCCTATCTTTTTTTTTTTTTTTTTTTGACAGGCAGAGTTACACAGTGAGAGAGAGAGAGACAGAGAGAAAGGTCTTCCTTTTCCGTTGGTTCACCCTCCAAATGGCCGCTAGAGCCAGTGCATTGTGGCCTGTACACTGTGCTGATATGAAGTCAGGAGCCAGGTGTTTCCTCCTGGTCTCCCATGCGGGTGCAGGACCCAACGACCTGGGCCATCCTCCACTGCATGCCCAAGCCACAGCAGAGAGTTGGACTAGAAGAGGAGCAACCAGGACAGAACCAGTGCCCCAACCAGGACTAGAACCTGGAGTGCCCAGGCCGCAGGCAGAGGATTAGCCTATTGAGCCGCAGCACTGGTTCAACCCCTATCTTAACCTCTATAGTAAATGGTTATGATACAACAATGCAACACAAAAAAAGTCTATTTTGCAAAGTAGAATTTCAATAACTACCCCCCTTAAATAAAATTTAAAAGTGTTTCAACATTGGGGTGAATATTTTTTTAAAGATTTTATTTATTTATTTGAGAGGTAGAGTTACAGACAATGAGAGGGAGGGACATAGAGAAAAGTCTTCCTTCCATTCGTTCACTCCACAAATGGCCGGTAGGGCTGTAACTGTGCCATGCCGGAGCCAGGAGTCAAGTGCTTCCTCTAGGTCTCCCATGTGGGTGCAGGTGCCTATGCACTTGGACCATCTTCTACTGCTTTCTCAGGCAATAGCAGAGAACTGATTGGAAGAGGAGCAGCTGGGTCTAGAACCAGCAGCCATATGGGATGCTGGTGCTGCAGGGGGAGGATTAACCTACTGCGCTATGGCGCTGGCCCATGGGGTGAATATTATATTAGATTTTTATGATCTTATTTTTAAAAAATTTAAAATAAAGTTTTAATTTCAGAATTATTTCAAAGTTACAAAACAAAAATCATGTAGTACATAGTTCCCATATACTCCACACTTATTTCCACTTATTACCATCTTATATTAGTATATTTGTCACTCTTAAGAAACCACACTGAAGTTCACTATTACTAATATCTTTTATTAGTATTTGTGACAATTAATGAACCATAACCAACTGATCTTATTTTTTTAAATAAACTCCCTCTATCCTCCCCATCCCTTCCCTTGCAGCTTGTTTGCAGCCTGTGGTGGTTACTATTCTGTGTCCATATTGAGAATTTTGTTGTTGCTATTTTCTTCTTTTAGCCCCCATATAAGGTAGAGAACATGCAGTATTGTTCTTCTGTGTCTGGCTTATTTTGTTAACAAGATATAATCCAGTCCCATCTATTTTCCAGCAAATAATAAGATTCATTTTTTGTTGTTGAATAATATTCCATTGTTTCTGTATATGTGTATATGTACGTATACATACATACATTCATACATCTTCTTTATTCATACATCTGATGATGGATACCTTGGTTGATTCATTTATCACAGTTATTATGAATAGTGCCACAATAAACATAGTGGAACAAATATCTCCTTTCTGACATAAAATTAATATAAAAATATCTCAGGAACTCAAAAACTCAACAACAACAACAAAAATCCAGTTGAGAAATCGACAGAAGTCCAGAATAGACAGTTCTCAAAAGAATAAATACAAATTATCAATAATATATGAAAAAATGCTTAATATCACTAGCCTTCAAAGCTGCAATGAGATATCACCTCACTCCAGTTAGAATAGCTATTATCAAAAAGACAGAAATAAATATTAGTGAAGATATGGGAAAGAGCAACTCAGTTGATGGGAATAAAAACTAGTAAAACCACTATGGAAAATAGTATGAAGACTTCCTTTTTTCACTGTTTAAAGAATTTTCATTAAAGTAACACTGTTACAATCCAAATTATGTTTTCTTGCTCGGTCATCATTTGCTTAAAACAGAGCTAACATTTTGTGCTTTTTCACAGTAAAAGAATTACAAAATTAAAGGAAGGAATGTTATATATTTTGTACTTGCTAAAAATTCTTTTTTCCAGGATCTATAATACATTATTTTCTCTTTTTATTTTACTTTGTTGCTGCTGTTTTTAAATAAGTAAGTAACCTAGGACTACCATTATACTTGCTAGGCCTGGCATTAGCTCAGTACATAGGGTTTTACATTTCCTTTCCTCTTTTATTTATTTTATATGTTGCAATGTTTTCCCCATATTTCAGGTTTTGATGATTAGCTATTTTTTCTCTGGTGAGGTGTGAGTTTCTCTTAGTGGTCCCTGATCAATTATAAACAGCTGGAACAGCAGCGTCACTATTCCCTGTTTTCTGGGCAGCCTGTTTACCTTGGTGGATATGTAGTACAGCTAGAGCTTCATCAACTTTACAACACAGAGACTGCAGGCTCACGCATATGAAAAACTTCTGAATTACTAATCTCTGACAACATGCCAGAGATTTTACAAGCAAGAGTATAGTCTGGCCAGCTAATCCTCTGCCTCCTCACATGGCTCCTGGCTTCGGATCAGCGCGGTGCACCGGCCGCAGCACGCCAGCCTCAGCGCCCATTGAGGGGTGAACCAACAGCAAAAGGAAGACCTTTCTCTCTTGTCTCTCTCTCTCTCACTGTCCATTCTGCCTGTCAGAAAAAAAAATAAGAGTAAAGTCGAGTGCATTGCTTCAGAACAGCCATATGATCCAGCAATCACACTACTGGATATATATCCAAAAGCCATAAAATCATTGTGATTCTGCATTCTTCATGCCCTTTTTTACACCCTTTCCTCTTTCCACTTTCCTTTATTTCTTGCTCCCACCTTCGCACTCCTCCCTTTTATTGTTTAATTTTTTCTAAATTTCCTCCACTTGATCATTTTCAACATCATGTCTTTGAAATTTAGAATACAAGGATAGAGGTGAGAAAAAGAAAGCACAGAGGATGTAGAGAAGGAAGTGTGAGAAAAATGCAGGATGATATTTGAAGCATAATGAGAGAAGACACAGAAGGAGAAAAATAAAGGATTTCCTATTTTCTTCTCTTGCAGACTGGAGAAAAGCAGCATTATATGCTGGTAAGTGCCACGGTTTCTATTAATAACCTATTACTGAAGATATAATACATGAATATCTTCAATGTACAAAACATCATGAAGGAAAAGAAATCCAAAGCATATCTCCCATAAAAATGACATAAAACTACAAGATTTTAACACATTGGGATGAGTATTTTGACACAGAAGTTAAGCTACTGCTCAGGACACCTGCATCCAATACTGGAATGCTGATGAGTTCAAGTTCCTCTGCTTCCAATCCAGGTTCCTTCCTCACCTGGGAAGGGAGCAGATGATGGCCCAACTACTTGGTTCTCTACCACCGCAGGGAGACTTGGATGGAGTTCTGGGCTCCTGGCTTTAGGCTAGCCCAATCTTACTCATTGCGGTAGATGAAAGAGCTCTCATTCTCTTGGTTTCCGTCCTCAACCATCCATCACTTTACTGTTCAAATAAACCTAAAATTTTAGCATATATGGTATTGAAACATTACATTTTAATCTTTGTAAATCTGTGTATCACCTTATCTTTTGAGGGAAGGTAGAATGGTAATTATGTACTAAAATTTGAAGAAACAAAGCAAAACGTAAGTTGTCGAGTCAAGTTCACTATATTCCCTATTTCCTCTCCAACATCTAAATAGATGAAAGACTGTTATCTTGTAGAATTTTTGAAGGATGAAAGCATTGGCATGGGTCAGGTCTTCAAGTAGACATAATTTGGGAGGCTATAAAATGAAAGACAATGATATAAAAGAGAATTTTCTTTAGTTGTTGCTATATTTAACTAATCCTCAGAAATTGATATTCTGAATGGCCAGGCAACTGTCTTTCTCAGATGGTGGGTTCTCATGTTGATATGTTTCTTGCAGATTGGAGGAAAGAAAAGTTCCAGGCTGGTGAGTCTATGATGGTGTAGAAAGGACCATTTCCTTTGTGCATAGTCTCACACAAAGATGGACAGAAGTTAGCAGAATCACCTGGGGCCAGAGAAGCTCTCACAAAATAGTTTCTCTCAGGGCAGAACCCTGGATCACTTCCTTAATCCTCTGCCTGTGGCGCCAGCACCCCATATGGGTACTGGTTCTAATTCCAGTTGCTCCTCTTCCAGGCCTGCTTTCTGCTGTGGCCCAGGAGGGCAGTGCAGGATGGCCTGAGTGCTTGGGCCCCTGCACACATATGGGAGACCAGGAGGAAGCACCTGGCTCCTGGCTTCGGATCGGCACAGTGCTGGCCCTACTGGCCATTTGGGGAGTGAACCAACGGAAGGAAGACCTTTCTCTCTGTCTCTCACTCTCTCACTGTCTATAACTCTACCTGTCAAATAAATAAAAAAATTAATTAATTAATTAAAAAATAGTTTCTCTGGCCCAGGAATATTGATATCTTTCCTACAGAGATGATAGTCCTCTTGTCTTTGCAGTACACATGACCCTGGATGAAGACACTGCCCATCCTGCCCTCCGCCTCTCTGAACAGAGACATGTGACCTGGCATGAAGAGCGGCGAGATCTCCCTGACTGCCCACAGAGATTTGATTCCCTTCCCTGTGGGCTGGGTCAACTGAATATCACCTCTGGGAGATACTACTGGGAAGTAGATGTTGGGGACACAGTTTCTTATGATCTGGGAATCTGTAGGGACAATGTAACAAGGAAGGGGAGAGTAACAATATCCCCACAAAATGGTTTCTGGGCCATCAGGCTTTATGAGGGGGAGTACTGGGCTCTCACTTCCCCAGAAACTCATCTTACTCTGAGGGAGTCCCCCCGTAGGGTGGGGATATTCCTGGATTATGAAGATGGAGAAGTGTCATTCTATAACATGACAGATGGATCCCATATTTACACCTTTACCCAGATTTTGTTCAAAGGGTCCTTAAGACCTTTTTTCAGGCTTTGGAACTCTGACTCAGGCACCTTGACCATTGTCCACTGAAGGAGAGCAGAGTAATGCTGTAATTCAGAAGTGCACCCCATTTCACAAAAAAAATGACTTTGAATCCCAATGTTGATTGCCATTCCAGCTAACTATTGTGAAATTGCATTTTTCTTTCTCTTTATTGGTTCATTGTCAAAATGAAGCTGTGGGGCACAGATTTCTGATTGGTCCTTACTACTAATTTTCCTCAACCTTAATAATTGACTTCCTGACCTATGATAGTCCAGTTTAAACATTAGATTTCCTAGTCTTCTTTGCTGCATGTGACTAGATGACGGCCGGTATAACATATGCTGAATTATGTAGTCTGACTTATGAGACTTGTACTAAAGGGAAATGATATGTCTTTGTTATTTACTGTTTCTGTTTAATAGATATGACATTAAGGATGTAACTTGATGAATATTTTTGAGAATGTAATAAGACATGGATAACATAAAAGATATAATTAGTTTAAATTTCTGACAACTTATTGTAACTACTCTTGTTTAATACCAGATATCTTTTCTTCAGAAAATAAACCTTATATCTTTAAGCCATTTGTATATTCTTTGTGTTTCTTATGATGACATCTAATCCTACCTCATGCACACTCCTTTTCAGCGTGGCGGCAGACACCTTCAGTTGAATATTCAGGTGAAATAGGTGTCTTAATGTACTGAGCTGCAAACATAGCTCTTTCTACTCATCCAGTCTTCAGTTTCATCAGACTCATTTTTTCCTGGTCTGTCAGTCTCTTCTGACTTCAATTACCACCCTTTCCTACTTAAAATATGAATGCATAATAACTTCAAGTATTCCCTTACTAGTAAATGAAAGCCCTGCCCTCCTTATCCTTCTGTGACATCATCTTAGCAAGACCCTAAATATGGGGTTGCTCATACTAGCAGCTTAACATGTTATAAAAATTCAAACAAGTGAACACACTGGTACCTTATATACTTTTTGTACCTTTCACAACCTGGATGCCAACACTATTTTCCATGCTTTTTCCAGCCATCTACATTTCCTTGGATTTATCCATCAGCCTTTAAAATAATCCACTTATTTAAACTTTCAATTCTTTCAGTTCTATTCTCAATAAAGTACTGTGTTACCACTTAGAAAATCAAAGAGAACTGTCTCATCTTTATAACAACAAATAAAACAATTCTATCTAAATCAGGATGTCTCCATTACTCCTCCATCTCAGGTGTATTAATACAAACAACCTTTTCCTGTTTAGGGAGCAACATCTATTCTCTCCATCAATCCTACACTGACCTACCTTGTATGGGGAACTATCAGTTATTTCACCTAGCTTTCCTACTTAGTCCTTATAATTAATGTAAAAATCTCAAACACTGTTCATATTAAAATTGCAAGAATAAAATTCTCCATGAACTGTGTATCCTCCTGTATATGCATCTTTTTCCTTATATAATCAAAATTCTCAAAATAATTATCTGCAGCGTATAGGGCAAATCCGAAAGAATAACAAACACATGAATATCACAGAGATTTTCCCCTATTTTTCTTCTAGTAGCTCTGCAGTACCATATTTTTTTTCAAAGATTCATCTATTTATTTGAAAGGCAAAATTACAGACAGAGAGGGAGAAACAAAAACATCTGTCAACTGCTGCTTCACTCCCCAAATGATTGCAATGGCCAGGAGCTAGGCTGATCCAAAGCCAGGAGCCAGGAGCTTCTTCCAGGTGCCTCAAGGGGTCCAAAACTTTGGTCATCTTCCACTGCTTTCCCAGGCCATAGCACAGAGTTGGATTGGAAAAGGAGCACCACAACTGATGCCCATATGGAGGTCTCGGCACTACAGGTTGAGGCTTAGCCTACTGCACCACAGCACTGGCCCCAAGAGTTTCACATTTTACATTCAACCTTTTAACACCTTTTTAATTAAATTTTCTGTGAGGTGAGGGCCTAATTCCATTCTTATGCATTTTCTCGGCCATTTGAAATGATGAAGTGTCCTACCTTATTAGGGAGCAGGGCCAATAATGCATAGCTTTTCATCTTCCAGAAGTCACAAAACAAGTCTCAATAAATTTAAAACAGCAGAAGTCATATCTAGTATCATTTCTGAACACACTGCAATAAAACCAGAAAAAAAATAACTACAGAAGGATTGGAATCCACACAAGTACATAGAACTCCTGAACAAACAATGGATTCAGCTACACACAATCAGAAATGAAAATGGAGACATTATGACTGACACCACAGAAATACAAAAGATTGTAGGACAAATTTGATTACCTAAAAATGGACAAATTGTTAAGCATATATAATTAATTTAGCAATATGTAATCATGAACAGGATGTCTGAGCAGATCAATAAAGAGTAGAAATATTGAATTAATAATAAAAATCAGCCATCAAAGAAAAGCCCAGAACCAGATGGCTTCAGTGCTGAATCATACTAAACATTTAAAAAACAATTAACAAAAATCTCCTTAAACTATTTCAAAAAGTAGAAGAAGAGGAAAGGGACATTATTTTCTTACAACTCCATCTATGAAAAATATTAAATCTGTTCTCTCTATATTAATATCATAAAAATAAAATTTAAAAAGCAACCCCATTCCCAATAACTACAAAAAAAATTCCTGGGAATAAATTTAACCAAGTAAGTGAAGGTCTCTACAAATGAAAACTAAATCACTGATGAAAACACTGAAGAGGGCACAAAAAACAGGAAAGCATGACTATTGCCAAAGTTGATTTGCAGATTTAATACAATCCTTAATAGGATTCCAATGACATTTTTCAAAGAACTAAAAAAAAAAAAGTGTTAAAATCTGTATGGAATCACAAAAGACCCAAAAAGCCAAGGTAAGAGTGAGCAAAGAGAAAAGGCATAAGGTATTATACTACCTGACTTCTAAGCCTTGTGCTTGCTTAAAAGCCTCTGAAACAGACACTGTGCTGGACAGGAGAGATGCAAAGGTGTTCCAAGGAATCAAGGAGTTTTTAACAAAAACTCCAACATTAGAAATTCCTGAGCAAGCCATTCATAAGAAGATCCTCTTCAGATCAGTTTCAGCTTAAATAAAAGGGACCTGACCAGGTGCTAGTGAACACGACTACTTCCGTGAAATCAGAACTAAACTTCTACCTCTTAAGTCTTCACAGGTGAATGCGAAAGACATTCCTGACTGTTCCTATAAGCCAATCAGAAACCTTAGAACTCGACTTCTGGGAGTAACTGACTACGCAGGGACACAGACCTTGGCAATGATCGAGACTGCTCCAACCCACAAAGCAAATTTGTTAGACAGGACATACAGAGACTTACAGACACTGGATAGGCAGGGCCTGCACTACACCCCTCATGAACAGGAAGCAGTTACAGAAGATATGATTCAACAGCAATCAACTCCCCTTAGGATTAAGGGGATGGAGTCTCTGAGAGGGGAATGAATTAGGCAGATGTACTCTAGTAGGCCAGACCTATGAGATGAGACCCTGAAAAATCCAGATGCTGAATGTTTTACTGATGGCAGCAGCTATATGAAGGAAGGAGTTAGAAAGGCAGATGACATATATACAGATTACAGATATGCTTTCCTTGTGTTACACGCACACACAGCATCTGGCAAGAGAGGGGCTTACTGACTGCAAAGAGTTCCCCTGTTAAATATGGAAAAGAGATACTGCATGCTCATGGATTGGAAGAATCAATATCATCAAAATGTCCATTCTCCCAAAAGCAATTTACAAGTTCAATGCAATACCAATCAAAATACCAAAGTCATTCTTCAAAGACCTAGAAAAAATGATTCTGAAATTCATATGGAGAAACAGGAGACCCGGAATAGCCAAAGCAATCCTTAATAATAAAAACAAGACCGGAGGCATCACAATTCCAGACTTGAAGGCATACTGCAGGGCAGTTATAATCAAAACAGCCTGGTACTGGTACAAAAACAGATGGATAGACCAATGGAACAGAATAAAAACACCGGAGATCAATCCAAACATCTATAACCAACTCATATTCGACAAAGGACCTAAAACCAACCCCTGGAACAAGGACAGCCTCTTCAACAAATGGTGCTGGGAAAACTGGATGTCCACATGTCGCAGTATGAAGCAAGACCCCTACCTTACACCTTATACAAAAATCCACTCAACATGGATCAAAGAACTAGAGATGCGCCACGACACCATGAAACTAATTGAGAGCATAGGGGAAACCCATCAAGATATCGGAATAGGCGAAGAATTCCTGGAGAAGACCCCACAGGCACGGGTAATCAAAGATAAAATAAACAAATGGGATTACCTCAAATTGAAGAGTTTCTTAACAGCAAAGAAAACAGTCAGGAAAGCGAAGAGGCAACCAACAGAATGGGAGACGTTATTCACAAACCACACAACAGATAAAGGACTAACAACTAGAATCTACACAGTAATCAAAAAACACCACAGAATCAAAACAAGCAACCCAATAAAAAAATGGCCCAAGGACCTTAACAGACATTTTTCAAAAGAGGAAATCCAAATGGCCAACAGGCACATGAAAAAATGCTCAGGATCCTTACCCATCAGGGAAATGCAGATCAAAACCACAATGAGATACCACCTCACTCCAGTTAGATTGGCTTACATACAGAAATCAACCAACAACAGATGCTGGCGAGGATGTGGAGAAAAGGGGACACTAATCCACTGTTGGTGGGACTGCAAACTGGTAAAGCCACTATGGAAGACAGTCTGGAGAGTCCTCAGAAACCTGAATATAGCACTACCACAGCCATCCCACTCCTTGGAATATACCCAAATGGAATTAAAGGGGTGAAAAAAGCCATTTGCACCTCAATATTTGTTGAAGCTCAATTCACAATAGCTAAGACATGAAATCAACCTAAATGTCCATCAACAGATGACTGGATAAAGAAACTATGGGATATGTACTCCATGGAACACTATACAGCAGTAAAAACAATGAAATTTGGGCATTTACAACAAAATGGAGGAAGCTGGAAAACATCATGCTGAGTGAAATAAGCCAGTCCAAAAGGGATAAATATCACATGTTCTCCCTGATCGATGGCAACTAAACGAGCACCTAAAATGATACCCATTGAAGTGAGAGACAATGACATGAGCAGCCCTTGGCTAGACTATTGAGGAACAACTTACTATTTTGTTCCTTTAGTATTTTTGTTGTTGTTGTTGTTGCTCGATTTGCTCTACACAAGGCCACTGGTTGAACTCTGCAATCAATGCACAACCATTCTTAAGCGTTTAAAAATTAACAGAAAATTGATCTCTGTGGAACATGGGAGTGGGAATAAGAGAGGGAGGAGATATATAGGACGGCACATACTCACTCAGACCTACCTCCAATGGCGGAACTGGAAATGTGCCAGGGGATTTCAACTCAACCTTACC